TAATTGGGAAGACAAACCAAGGTATCTATCATTTCATCCCTTGGATAAATAAAGAAGGAGAATATAACTTTTTTTTCTCCTCGTGATGTCAAATAATTGAACAATGATTTTTTTGTATGGTCGAAAAAAAAACCTACAAAATTCTAACTTCACCATATGGTGAGAATCTAATATGATTTCTTCACATCTAATTTCAGATTCACCTAATCAAACGTCAACTTTCTCTTACTTTAAAACGAAAACTTAAATTCTAAACTTGATCAAACCTTCAAAAGTATTTTAGGATGTAAATTTTACATGGAAAAACAATAAAAGATACCTATTAAAAAATAAAGAAAAAATATTAAAGATTAATTGACTTCTGTTTGGGATACAATCAAACAAATGAAACATATCTAAGTTTAAAACAATATTGATAAATAAATAAAAAGTTAAAAAAAAATCAAAATATTCGCAAAAATTAGTTTGAATTCTACTATCTAGGTCTAGCATTCTTATTTTTAAAATTAATTCATTTTTCGAATTTATATAAGAGACGGAAAAATACAAAAAGAAAAAAAAAATCTTATTTTATTTTAAAAGAAACCAGAGTTGTATTAATTTTGATAGCAAAATTCAAGGAAAACATAAAATAAATTGGCAGAAAAGGACTAAATTTATATTTTAAAAATAATAAATTGCAACTTTTTTAAAAAAAAAACCAACATTCCGGACCGAGAAATCCTGAGAGGGGAGCCGTGAAACTGAAGGAATGCGATATTGTTGAGTTTCCGATGCATTTCGTTACGATTGGGGAAGGGTTCTCAATATTACTTTATTGCCCCTTCCTCACTTCCAAAAATATGTTCAAATTAAAATTTCAATATTAATTAGACTTTAGGAGAAAAAAAAACCTTCTGAAATCAAACTTACTTTTTCCACCAGAAGAATTAATAATTTAGAAGGTGTGTAGTTATAGTTCTCTAAGGAGAATGACACACTACAATATTTTTGTAATAAATACAAAAATATTTTTAAAATATTAAATTGCTTTTATTTTTTAAAGAAACAGTGGATAAACTATTATCTAAAAAAATATTTTAAAGTGATTGATATTCTTATGGTTGGAGGACATGATAGATAATTATTTTACGAAAAAAAAGGTTTAATTCAAAGATGTATAAATAGTTAAGAGTTTATTAATATAATGTAAGAAATGTAAACAAAATATCACTCACATCAAACATAATACTAATTAAGAGAAATTTTTTTTTAACTAGGTTGATTCACGTGTTTAGTTCTTTGTTTTTTCCTGGAAAAAAATTATTTTTAACTTGAGTAAAAAGTATGAATTATTTGTTAATTGAATTAAATTATATATTTTTATTTTAATGACTTTTCAGTAAATATCTATCGATGTTAGCATTTGATCGACATTATCATGATCTCAATTTTTAATCTTGGATTGATAAAATTTAGGTGATAAAATTGAAATCATTAGTTATTGGAGCATGATTCCTTTTATATCTTTTATATATATATATATATATGATTTAAAGAACAATCTCAATATTCTTAATAGATCGAAATCCTTGTTATTAATATTAAATTAATATTTCTTTTTAGGTAAATCCTAACATAGTAGGATCTATTTAAGCAATAGACTAGTTAAACGATTCTCTAAAACTCCAGGTTCAGGAGGACCTCATATTAATAATATATTTATAATATATTATTGGTCGACTTATTTAGTTTTTAATTATAAATCAAATTTAAAATATAAAATAATATACTTTTCATAAATATTTTTCTTATAATATTGTAAATATAAACTAATATTATATATAATTCTCTTAAAAAAATCTTAATCAATAAGCTCGTAAATTTTTCTCAATTTTAATTGGATACCATTATAAATTTGTTAACTTTTATTTTTTCTCTTCGCAATTACTTTAAAAAAATTTTAAAATTTCCATAAAAATATCAAACGTTAATATAACCTTCTTCAGTTTACGTTGAAAGACCTTTCCACATTAATGTAACAGATAGGTTATACTAATTTTAACTTTAACTCTCTCTTTCATTCTCTCTCAAAGTCTCAACTTTTCATGTTTGATATTGTGGTCTCACAACTCAAAGTTTGATTATCGATTGCAAGAGTATAAATTCTTATCTGCTCAAATCAATCTAGCGGCTTCAAAGTTCCAAGTTTTTTTTTCCAATTTTTTTCTTTTTTTTTAAAAAAAATTATTTCATATTGTCGATTGTTCAATATTTGTGATATTTGTTTTGATTTACTTACTTAGAATATCAATACAAAATATGAATCTGGATATGAAATGCTTACGAAGAAAATAAAAATATAGAAAAACTTATTCATTCTAAATTAATTGATTTATTGGTAGAAAAAATTCTATTAGAAGAGATTTAATTTTCCAAAAGATGAAAATTTCAGACACTCCCTAATATTCATTATACTAAAAAATTATCTAATATGATAAAAATTGGTTAGTTTACCCAACAATACAGATAAGTTTGTTATTTTTGTTGTAAGTTATTTGGTACTAAATCTAACGATTAAACAAATTAGATCGTTAGAAAATAAAACAATTGACAAATATATTCAAGAGTTTTAACAAATAATTATTGATGTATTAAAAATCATGATATATTTTATATAAAGGTTTTTCTATCAAAGTTTTGCTTAAGATCCCATATCATCTCAAGCCGTCCGTGGAAGATAGATGACTAATAATTTGAATAGATCTAGAGTTGGAATTTAAAAACTTAAGTTTCCACGATACGATTTAGGGAAAGAACTTTTCCTTTGTTGCAGGGTCGGGAAAAACCATTCAAGCGCCGAGATGGAGACGGCTCTGTTGCGACTACCCTAAGCAGGGAGAGCTAATCTTTGGTTCCATTTGTCCACATTCTTCCCTTCCATCCACCAATGTCTGAAATAGAGAGTGGGGTGTGGTCACTGGTGAAGACGACACTTTTGTCTTGGTACGGCGAGGATGAGATAAATGTTGCTGGATTGCTCGTCTCGATTTGATCGGCCTGGGCTCGGGTGGTGGATCGAATGAACACTCAACTGCGTCATCACAGCTGCAATGAATGTCCCACCTTTATATCTCTTCCTTCTATAGATACTAGAAAAGTCAGAGAGAATGAGATTTCAGATTAGTCAATTGAAATTGAAGAACCACATCTCGATACAACCACAAATCTAAATACATAATTAAAATCTAAATTTTTTTCTTTTAAAAATTTGTATTAAATTTAATTTACGAGTTTATGACTCATGCAAGTCAGTGCATTATAAAAAAAGTGAAGAGCCTAAGTTTATAAAGTCTTATAGGATTAACAAATCCATAACTTCGGACAAAGTAAATTTGCATATCAAATATTTTTTAATTCTAAATTGTAAAAACCTAATTCCTTATGGTTACGGATAACTCAATTAAGGCATTTTATTTCACATTTAAAAAAAAATCAACATTTGTATTTAACAAAGGAAAAAAAATAGTTACTGTGAAAATTAGTTACTGATTCGACAACAATAACACCAGTGCAGTGTCAAGTTACATCCTTCCTTACCTTCTGCTACACTGAACAGAAAATATTGTCATAATTTGGCCATCATATTTCTACATGCTAAAATTTCAATAAATAGAACAAGATGATTTATTTCTTTCAAATAAATCTCACATATACTACAATTTCAAAGAATATATATAAATATGATTAAATTATAGATTCATCGTCCACCTTCCAAAGCTATAATATTTAATCTTTATACTTTAAAAATTCTAAATGAGTAGTAAAACTTGTAAAGTCTGTCTTTAGTTAGTTATTACACTTTAAAAAAAAATTATGAGATTATTTAAGAGTTGTGTGAAGAATTGATTTTGGTAAATACCATAGATGTATTTGGGACAAAATTAAAAATTGAATAGCATATTTAAAACATTTTAAAGGTAATGTAATTTTAAAAATTCAACACCATCGTGCTAAATAGCATTTTTTTTCCCTCCTTTAAAATTTCACCAATTAACACTTACCAACAATAAACAACGACAGAAATACAAGAGATTAAATTAAAAAATTTTAAATAATACAAATATTTAATTTGAAAAAAGAAAGTTGGAAAATACATTTGGTCTTTTTTTTTTTTTTGATAAAATAACAATTTAATTCCTAATTTTACCTCCAAATAATTTAATTTATAATACTTTTAAATCGTTAACAGTTTAGTCCTTAAGTTTAGTACCTAACAATTTAGTTCGCAATCTAGTCTCTACTATGAAATATCTAATCAAAATTTGTGTCGATTTTTATCCTATAACAATTTAGTCTTTGTAATTTATAAATAGATTTGGTCACTCATCGATCCACGTATATAAAATGTAACAAAAAGAAAAAAAAAGTCAGGATAAAGACTAAATCGTTACAAACTTGGACTATCTACCTTGAATTAGTAATTTCGATGTATTTTCCAGCATCAAATATTGGGATCAGATAATTGTCCTGTAAGATTAGTGGAGACATGCATAAATTAATCCATTCATAGATGTGAAACTAAAAAAAATATTACAAACTTTAAACCGTACATGTAACCAACTGAACGTGGTTGAAGTTGATACGTACGATAATGTTCTTTTTTAAAGGTTACTTTCACAGCGATATTTCAAAGTCAATAGAAGAACTCTAAACAATTTGGCGCGCGCAATTTCCAAATCGGCTCATTGGGCAACGGGGCGATTTCTACGTTTCCGCCATGTGAGATATGTCTCGGCCTTTGGAGCTTCCGATTCTCAGATTCTCTCTCTCTGATTCATAACAGATCTTGTTATTAGCCTTCATAATGCCGCTCAGAAGCTTCTCTGATCTCTCTCGCCTGTCTCCTCTCTGTAACCAGTAAGTCATTTCAGTTTCTCTGACACCTTCTTTTTTTTTTTTAATTCAAGTTTCCCATCCAACTTGTGTTCCTCTCCTACCTGTTTTTCCCATTAATTTTTGTTTCTCCATCTGATTCCTCAATCATTCCTTCCATTTCCAACGGATTTTTGTTAATTATTTAACTCCTCTGGTTTTCTCTGCCCGTTTTAGGTCTACTTTCTTCTAACATTCCACTTGAGCTGAAATCCGTCTCTTGATTTTGATTTTGATGCTAAATGCCTTCGTCTACGGTCAACTCTTGTGATCGCTTTAAATGGAGCTGAGAATCGAATTGGGGTTTCTTTGATTTTGTGTAGGATGTTAAGTTTGGGGCGAATTCCCACCGAGAAGAGAAATGGGTTGCACTTCTTCTGTCTACGCAGTTGGAAGGAAGAAGAAACTGAGCATCGCGGAGGTGGTTGTGTTTGTTCCATCTATGCGGATTCCAGTGCAATCGGATCTTCAGAGACCTCTTAGAGGGCTAATTCCCAAAGATCTCACTGATAGACTGTCTTCGCTTCGTAATCAGATTGTGTTGGTGGCGGAGGATACAGGTCAGTTTCTGGCCTTTTATTTCTTCTGCTTAGACTTACTGCGAAATTTCCTGTCTGGTTACTGCTAAAAGAAAATTTAGGTGTTCTTCTTGTTTGGTTTTTGGTCGTTTTAGACCTTACAGATTGTGCACTTTTTTTTGTTTAGTCACTGACCTTTTGCACCTAATGATTTAGTCTGCAATTTAATATTTGTAACCACGTAATGATTTAATCTCGACGATTGAAAAATCTTATTGATCTTTAGTATTTAATCATTTAATAATCGATCTATGTACATGTGAAACCTTATTACATCCGACGGAATTTTTGATAGTAGGAACTAAATTAAATTGTTACAAATTTTAAATTGCAAAAACTAAATTGTTATCAAAATTCATGAACTAAATTGCTATAAGTTTTCAAGTATGAGAGCTAAATTGTTACCAACTAAATTGAATATGATTTGTAATATGAGACGTGTTCTTGTAGGTGGATCTGCAATAACAGAATTGCGGCGAGCTCTGGAGGAGTATCTATCTGTTTTAATTGGTCTAACGAAGAAAGGTTTCTACATCTTATCTTGCAGTTTCATTCCTTCTTGGTCTCTCTGGATAATAATTCCAAATTTATGCAGAAACCATAGATGATGGATTAATAGAGTTCAAATGGAGAAATTTAGAAACTGGACGACAAGTAAGACTTGCATTGCACCTTACATTGTTTCCTCATAAAAAATCTGCAGTTATGTAACTGATTCTAAATAATAAACATTGTGGGCAGGAAATCTGTGTAGCAAACTTCTGGTTTGAATTGCTCTCTGTTGTTCACTTCATGGCTATGCTGACTCTATCAGAAGCTGATTCCTTGATGATTCCCAAGGATCACTCTGGTTCCGGTTTGAGAGTAGTGTCTTCAGGTCACATTTATAAGCCTATTCTTCAACACCCATCTTGTCAAAACCGACTATAATAAACCTTTTAACTTAGAATTTCTTAAACTTTCAGATTGCAAGAGGGATGCCATTGACTTGCTTCTTAAAGCATCGGGGTATCTTGATTTCTGCATCCGGGATATTCTGGTCTGCATTCCATTGGATATTAAGTACGTAAGCTGCAGTCTTTAAATCTTGACTTGTGCCGAACTATCATTCACTGTCTAATATTATCTACATATGCATCTTAGGAAGCGATTGCCTAAAGACTTTCAACCTGGTGTGCTTGAAGCCATTTCAATTCAAACTTTGGGTCAGGTACAATAATGTTATTGTCTTATTGTCTTAGAGTGGACACGTCTATCTCGAGTTCTTCAATCTGCAAGTTATCTCTACTTTACTTCTGGCTAGATTTTATGGTTTTTCAGTATCTAATGTGAATGGAAGTATCTGTATATAATCAGGGAACTGAAATCCAACTTGGTTTAGCTGTTGAAAGTCAAAATGCCACTTTATCTGTCAAAAGGAGACTAGCTTGTGAGCAGTTGATCTATTTCAGCCAGGTTTGAATAGATTTGTCTTTCACTACTCAAACTTTTACCGCATTTGAATTTCTGCGTGGAGAGATCAAATCTGTTGGCTGATTAAAAAGTCTAGTGAATCCATTTCTCTTGAAGACTTCTTTCCTTCAATATGAATAACCATTGCCTTACTTGTGTTGGGGGATTAATCTTTCTAGCTTTGCCTTTCCTTGAAGTTTGATGTGTCCTAGTCTTTTGTCCATCAGGCTTACCAGTGCTTATCGGAATGCGACACCAACCGAGGATATGGAAAGAAGCACATGTCATTCATCAAATGGAAATTTCTTGAATCCAAGGTTGTTTCATAGTTGTTAACAAAATGTGCTATTGAAAACTCTGCCGTTTCTGAATTTCTTAACTTATTTTCATCCGTCTTTAATTTTGTCCTTGTTGTATCAGGCAGCGGCTTACTACTACCACGGTCTGATCCTCGACAAGGGTTCAGAACCCTCGTGTCATGTCAGTGCAGTGTGCTGTTTTCTTGCTGCAGAAGAGCTTCTGCTTGAAAGCAAGAAGGCTTGCTTGAGTTTCTGCCTTGCATCTCCTGTCACCAGGTTGGGTTGCTTTCATACTTCTCAAGCAGCATTCTTCTAGTTCTTTATTCTCTCTACCTTTTGATATTCTGCTCTGATTCCATCATTTCAAAACTTGAAACTCAGTTTTGTTTATGTTTTTCATTCTGGAAAGGTCTCCTCCACTGTGGGGTGCTATGAAGCATTTACATCAGAAAATCCCAGAGGTTGCTTCTAGGAAGTCCCAGATGTATGTATACCTCTTTGAACAAGAAAAGTAAGACATCTTGAATTACCTCATTCTTGCAGTTTCATACATATACCTGTTCTTGCCACTTATCTTATTTTGTTCTTTATACTTTTCAAATTTTTCTTTAGGAGGGTTAAAATTAAAAATTTGAGTCGAATACCCTATGGCTACAGACACTTAGTGTTTGATGCGATTCAATGCGTTAGTATTGATAGAATCACACGTAAGAGGTTACCTCAATGGCTAGGACTTGAGATATTTGGAGATACTCTCTTAGGTTTTTGAAAACTTTAATAATTTAAAACTCATATCTCTCGAGCTAGCTTTAAGGTGGGTGAAGCCTCTCTAAAGAGTAGTGGGAGTGGGCTATGAACATAATGCAAGGAGTAGATTCCTCGATACCTTAGTTATCACAGAAGGGCGGAAAAAGAAATTTGGTATTTGATTTGTGGGTGTGTTTGTAACTTGTTAAAGTAAAGAGGTGCATATTAGAACTTAAACAAACTCGCATATCAAACCATATAGAGACTAAAACTAAGTTTAATGTTAAATCACCCATCAATCGTGAAGTGTTTATACTAATGGGATTACGGTAAATTTAATCTTTTACAGATATTATTAACATTTAAACCTAAATATGACGAAACTGATGGACTATATTCGACACAGGGCCCTCAAAACATTACCTGAATTACCAGAATTTCAACTGTCATTAAGACCCGAAGAATATCAACTGCCTGAAGTTGATCCAGGTTGGAGCTCTGAAAATTGGGAAGTCCACAGCCAGACCTTAAAGGAACACCTCGTTGATAGTGAAGATGAGACTCTGTCTGAATGACTTCTTTCAATCGGAACACCTCGTTGATAGTGAAGATGAGACTTTGTCTGGATGACTTCTTTCAATCTTTTCTGCTAAACTTTATTCTTTTTCTCTGTAAGCTAATATATATCAATATCACTGATTTTGGGCATAAAAAGAAATTAAAGCAAAAAAAAAAAAAACCACTATGGAATAACGTTATGTCAGGATCTCAAATACACTAAACGAAACAAGAACACTATATTGCAATATCAAATGACGCTACAATATTTATAGCCTTTCGAGAGGGTTGTCTGTCTCCTAAAGAATTATGCCAAATTCCTTTAATAAGACTATTTCCAAAAGATCTCCTCCCCTCCCTCTACTACTTCTATTTTTATCCAAAATCATAATTAATTACCATAAAACCCCTTCACAATATACTAATAAATGTGAGAATCCTGGTAGGGGTATATTGGAAATATTATTGGTATAATAAGGGGCTTTATGGTAATTAGTTAGGATTTTGGATATAAATAGAGGTAGCACGAAGAAGAGTGGATCTTTTGGAAATAGTCTCAGTAAAGGAACTTGACATAATTCCTTGGGAGAGAGATAGCCCTCTTGAGTTGCTATCGATATTGTATTGTCATTTGATATAGCAATATAGTTATCTTGTTTTATTCAGTGTATTTGAGATCCTAACATATTATAGGTAACTACCTATCTAATTTTATTTAAATAAAGTATTATAAAAATAGTGACTAAAAAAATTAATGACAAATATACTAAAAGCTAGAATATACTTACATTAGTGATTACAATGAATTAATACGTAGATTAGGCTAGCTAATATGTAGGTTGATTAGTGATATAGTCAATCTTAGTTGATCAGTGATACAATTAATCAAGATGTAAATTAATTGGTGAGAAGATGATTTTTATTTATTTTTAAAGTATTAAATTACACGTCAATTTTGAATTTATGATATTTTAAAAAGATGTATGTTCTGTATAGGAAAATTTCTAGTGCTACCGTAGTAGGGGAGATTTTCATACTACTCTCATTCACATTATACATGTATAATCTTATTTTAGAAATAAAATAAAGTGGATCCCACATAATCTTAAAATAAAAAAAAAATCGACGTACTATTTTTCTCTCTCATTGCTCACTCTTAAAAGGATAAAACTTGGTTAAAAGGAGCAACTTTGTCCGTATTAAATATTTGACAACTAAGAGAGATAAATACAAAAATAAAATTTTATTTTAAAATATAATGAATTGTCAAATAATCCATGACGACCTCTTAATAAACATTCTCTCTCATGATGTGCCACTCTCTCTCTTTCGAATACATTATATATCCTTTATTCTTATTTATACTTTACAGAAAATGCTTTTTTTCTTCTTTTGTTTTTTCTTCTTTCATTTCTTCATATTCTATTATTTTAACTTAAATATTTTTACAACAACTTCTCGTTTCTCTCTACATCTCGGTTCATTTGCAGATTTTTCTTTCTTCGAACTAAATTTGTTCGTTCTTTTCCTTTAAATAATATTTGTAGTTCAAAGTTCGTTATTGTTTAGAAATTTATTTTAAAATAATTAAATAATTATTTTTTCTTATGTAACGGATATTATAATTTGGTTTTCTTAGTTTTAGTTATCCATTTTCATATGTCATTTTATTTTTAACTTGTCCTATTTAATTAATATTATAGTTAGATTTTATTTGTTAACCATTAATATATATATATTAACTTTATTTTAAAATAATTAAATATTTTTTGTTTAATTTGAAATATTATAAATTAAATTTTATTTGTTATCTATCTGCGGAAATTGTAAGTATCATTGTATAAAAACAAAAATATAAAAATTAGATATCTTTTTAGTAAAAAAAAAAAAGGATATTTAACAAAACTATAATCTTTTTGAGGGGAGAAAAATCTACCAATAAAAATGGGGTTCACTTTATTTTATTAAAAGTATAAATAAGAATGGATGAGAGATTTGTAAAAAAAAATATATATATAGAAATCTGCCCTGGTACCTAAGGAATTTATATGTTGGTTTATGATACAATTAATCAAGATGTAATCTTTTTTTTCTTTTGAGAAAAATCAAGATGTAAATTAATTGATGAGATGATAATTTTTGTTTATTTATTTTTAGAATATTACATTACACTCGAAATTAACTGAAATTTTATCTTTGTAAGATCGTCAATATTGTACCGAGGGTGTTTTCAGAGTATACCGAATCAGTATAGCTATCCTTCTTCTGACGCAGCAATGCAATTTCACAATCARTATCGAAATGAAGCACTAAATAATTAATTTCTTCTTTTCTTGGTGCTTGTCGATGTAGAATCATGTACCATTCATTGAATATAAAATTCGGAAAATTCCTGTAGTAGTATAAGGGTTGTCTCGGTTATTGGCTTCGGGCTAGAAACGGAAGATTGGGTAAAATGTGAATCCTATTGGTTGGTTTATAATAATTCAGGAAGCAGATTCTCATAGTTCCAAAATTTAATTAAATTAGACTTCAAGTCTGAATTTTGAATTTATGACTTTTTAAGAGGAAGTATGTTTTGTTGTGCTGCTCACGTTGGGAATTAATCAATAATATAGATTCTTTTTTTAGTACAACAAGTAAGGATGGGGATTCAGACTCACGACGTACGTGTCAATTACCACTGAGATAAATTTATGTTAGCCAATAATATAGTTAGTTAATATATAGGCTAAAAAATGATTATGGGGAAAAATCCTATACTTTCAACTTTTATTCATTTTGATTTCTGTATTTTGAAAACGTATATTTTTATCATTATAGTTTCAACTTTTGTTCGTTTCAGTTTCTATAGTTTCAAAATGTTCGTTGTCCCTGCACTTTGAAAATTTTATTGTTTTGGTCTCTTTATTTTTATTTTTATCTTATTTATTTCAAATAGAAATTTTATCATGACATTTTACTCAAATTTCTCAAAATGTAGTTATAAATTTGTATGTTTCATTGTACATAAAATTTGTGTTAAAAATTTTGTAAAAAGAATCAAAATGGTCACTTTTTTATCGTATTAAAAAACATACATTTTGAAACTACAAGACTAAAGTATATGGACCAAAACAACCCGTAGATCTTTCTTTTTTTTTTTTTGAGGCACACTAGTAGATCAAATTAAAATAACATCTAAACCTATTTAAAATATAAATTAATTAAAAAAAGGTCAGAGATGCAGTGAAATTAAGTGTTATAATTTTGATTTGAATCTACGACATAAGATGAACCATGTGACAATTATTAAAAGAAATCACTATTTTAAAAAGAAATTAGAGAAAACATACATTATTTTAAAATTGAAGGCTTCTGTATTCTATTCATGAGACTAACAATTATTTTATATTGGAATATTATAATATGCTGTAGGGCAATGTTTGTTTTTGGATGTAGTAATTGGAAAACCAAAACTTAATCTATTTTGTATGTATTGAAGGATGGAACCATTGGATTGGAGAGATTTTTGCGTGTTTCTTTAATGTAACGTGGGTGGTTCTACTTCTACCACATACTTATTTTAAACTATAAGTTAATCCCTCCCCGCCTCTAATGTTTGTATTTAATAGGTAATCTTCAATATTTGAGTTCTTCGTTCCGGTTTATCCAGAGTCGATAGAACTCGTAAAAAACTCTTGAGTACGCTATCATATAATATGTAGGAAAAGATTTATTTGATCTGAAAGGTTTGTAATCAGTATTTTTTAGTCACCGAAAAATAGTGACTAAAAAGCACTTATTCAAATTCAATAAATAAATTTTTTAACTGTATTTAGATTTTTCTATTATTTTATTAAAATTCATATTTTTCATCTCTCTTTTACTTTTTCTTTTACCTTTTTTCAAAACTCATTTGCGGTTTCTCCTCCCCTTCTCCCCCCTAAAATCTCTTACTTTTCAATCCAATCTAAGTTACGGTATGACAATCTTTTTATTTTTCTTTTATGGTTTTTTTCCTCATCTTTAAAATGAAATACTATATATATTTTCAATGTGAGAAACATATCAGCAAGTTCGAACAATGGAGAATAAACAACGATTAATTTTGAATAAGTGAATTAGTTTTTTAGTTCTCTTTATTTTTTTAATATTTTTTTTTGTCAATATTTTCATTATTTTTTTCTTCTCTTAAATATTTTCATAAAATAATAGAAAGATTGAGGAGATATGGATGAGACATAGATTTTAATAAAATAATAGAAAAATCTGAAAGCTAACATATGTCAATTTACTATTGGATCATGTCACAATCAGCAGCAACGTGATCCTGAATCTTCGGAAGACAAGTTTTTTTTTCCAAAACTTATTAGCATAAATTTGAAAGTTCAAGTACTAAATTTGTAATTTATGAGTTTAAATCTAATTTTACTTCACATTTAAATTTATTTTATTTTAAAATATACATTTCAGTTTCGAGAATACTTCTCTACTAACTACTAATACGACCACTAAATTTTTAATACGTAGAAGAGATGAATGTAAGGAGGGAGAGAGATGAGTGATTTTTTTCAAGAAAAATAAAATTGTGGACAAACTTTATTAAACTTATCTTTTTTTAGTACCACAAGTGGAGATGAAGAATTGGAACGCATAACCTCTTGGTTATAAATAGATGTCAATTACCGCTAAACTAAGACATAACAACTGAACCTACAAAATCTTAGCCGAAGTTATATATTAATGCTCATGGACTAAGAGTAAGACATTATTTTAAAATTGATTAGCTAAGATGAAATAAGATTGAATTAAATACTTGTCATTGTCACATGTGTTGCATTAGTGGAAAAGGGAGATCCAGCCCAATCTCATCTAGAAGTCCATCTTTGATTCTTGAAAAATATTACGATATGTGGGGCTCCTTAATAGATAAAGCTTTTAATGTAAACTGTCAGTTTCTTGATTTGTAGAGTACTTCATTGAAAAGAAAAGAAAAAAAAAAAAACTTTATAGTTTATACTTGTCAAATGATGGGGATGAACCTCAAATAGAAGATCATTTAATTTAGTCCATTACGTTTTCAATTGTCTAAATTATGTTAATTTGACGGGAATGATGGTATAGTGAGTAATTTTGAAAAAAAAAAAGATTTAAGTATAATTAATTTTTTAAAATTATCATTCAAGTGATACTTTAAAAATTAAATTAACCTGATTTAAAACATCATAATATCAATTTTTTTAATTTACCAAAAACAATCCGTAGAAATGGGAGTGGTTTTGTCAATGGCAAAAGTGATTTTAGTCATTGTCAAAATCACTCTCAAACACACCTCTAGTCCTCCAGAAGTTTATATCTTCACCTTTTGTAGAAGAGTTTCGAATGGACTAACAAGTGCAGCACAACAACTCGATCAAGTGATCGTGACAGATAAATATTGGATGGAAAGATTCTCATTGAAATTAAACACCTCTATGAACTGGAGTTAAATGAAACTACGGTTTTTCTCTTTCCAAGTGGTTGATGACATTTGTGGATGTTTGTTTATTTTGCTTGTCCTTGTATTCTCTTGTATCAGTTGTTTTTTATATTTATCTTTTTAAGTTAATAATTTATTTGACTTAGACATCAAAATATATTAAACTCATTTACCGTGTGTGCGGTGTTCTTCGAAACATCACCATTAGAACTTGAATCCAAATCCTACCTCGATACTTGAGTTTCTAAAACTTTGCACCTCAAACTCAAGTTTTTATGACTTAGGGTTTTAAAATGTTAAATTTGCACTACAAACTTATTTTATTTAATTCACATATTTATTGAGTAATAATTGGTTGGTGGCTGATGTTTCTACGTGGCAAAATGACATTTTTGCCAAGCCTAAGAAAATAGCCCACCCAACAGACTTCATTTAGCTACCCCCACTAAGAGGCTACTTTTTAATAAATATTATAAAACACTGCCTAATATATTATTAATCAGGGGCCTTTACGTGAGCATAGTGATTTAATCTAAATCATTTAAATTTATTGAGGTAAATCAGCACAAATGTAATGACATGTATATTAGCAATAAAATTCATATTAAATATATAAATAATATAAAAATAGTATATCAATGTAGTATATCAGTCATATATTTTATATTGATATATCATTGATGATCATCAATGATATAAACATACTTTATATTGGTGTATTATTGATAAACTTTATCAATAATATGTCGATGATATATTTTATATTAGTATATTAATGAAACCTTTAACAATGATACATGAATGATATATTAATTGATAATCTTTATTATGATATATCAGGAATATTCTATATTAATTATTAAATACTGGTATATACAATATACCAGAGAAAATTTTCATAAATTATTTTTATCTGCGACAAATTTATAAATATCAACCAATTTTACCATCCATTATATTTTTTCTATTAATTATTTAATAAAGTTAAATATTACAAAAATAACATATCGAGGAAAGTTTAACTTTAAAAAAATTATGGCTTTTTCTATAAACTTGCTTTTGATTGATTAAGACATGTATCTTCACTCAAAATAAAAATAATAAGCTTTCTATTTAAATAGCTTTATCTCTTTTATATAAAAACAATGTTTCTTTTCTTTTTCCTCTTTTAAAACAAAAAATTTATAAAGAATAGAAATCTAGATAAATTGCAGCGTTCAAATGAGTTCATGGCCACGAGGTTTGTTTTTATTAGCGATTAGAGCTTTTCTCTCTACTTTCAAAAAGTTTTAATATACGGTAGGTTGAAAATTCTAGTATTAGTCTAAACCGATCAGATTATTTGTGAGACAACTATAACTCATATTCAGAAACAACGTAATTTTGTCTATTATCTAACGTCTTACATTTAGTGATGTTTTACTCCCACTATCACTCAGCGAGATAGATGGAGTCCAATTGAAAGTTATTTTCATAACTAAGTTACAATTCTTTTTCTTTTTTAGATTTGATGCATGCTTATATTTGTTCTTGTTTTGATTTGTTGTTATCTTTTTTTCGTGATCTTGCTGCATTTTTCTTGTCGGTTCTGTTTGCTCTTGTTGTGCTTTGACCTCAAGACGTGAGATTTACTTTTTCCTTTATAATATACCTCACCCTAAAAAAAAATAATAATAAAATAAAAATTCTCCTTTTATTATATAGCTTTTTCTTCTTTTTTATATATATACATATACATACATATTTTGTATGATGAATCATTTACTTTAAAATATTTTTAAAATTTACAAGTTTATTAGTCGCAAAATTCAATATTTTGTCTAATGAACTTATGAATTCGAAAAAAAAGTCATTCAACTCAGACATTTATTAGATACAAAATTAAAAATTTATTAGTAAAATTTAATTATATATATATACATATACACGCTTAAGAATCTCACTGCATAGGTTTATAATAGATATGAGCTACTCAAAATGCTTAAACGAACATTCGATCCCACGATCTTAAGAGGCATGTAACGTGTATATTTTTTGAAAAGGAAAATTTATTTTGGTGTATTATATTGTGGGCCCATCCCCATGGGGAAATGGGGCGCATGAAGGGGGTGATACAGCTGCGTCACACCGTAAATAACCCCTCTAGTATATTTTCCAATTCCGGGACTTCCGACCATTCCGGAGCCAACAGCCACCGCACTGCCGGTGCCATGCTCTGAATTCAAATTGTCCGATCGCCAAATTTGAAGAATCAGCCGCACCCCACAACAAACGGTACTCTCCGGCGACCTCCCATTTTTCTTCTACTTTCACCGCATTTTCCCCATTCAACAACCTCAACTTTTTACTCTTTTGCCATTTCTTGTTTCTGCTCACTTTCCAGCTCTGAATCGTCCACTGTCTTTTACCATTGACGCCTCTCAATCCTCTGTGGAGCCGGAGAATTCCTAGCTATTTCGTTTCTCCTTTTCTTCCCTTCCCATGGCCGCTACCGGAGCTTGTGTTTTCCATGGCGCGATATTTTGGCGTCTCCGGCGGAGTAGGATGTCGTCCGGCGAGAGTTTCAAATCCGGTTCGATCCCCACTACTCGGCGACTTGCTGTGTCTACTACTTCCATGGACCAAGTTGCTTCGACATCCGCGCCGGAGACTACTTCCAGTGATTTGTTTCGTAATGGCCGGTTCGAGAAGAATCTCGAACATGCTACGACAGCGATCGTTGGAGTTGAAGACGGAAGTCGGGAAGATACGGAGGTGCGGCGGAGCTTGAAGGACTATTTCGAACAATCCGCTGAATTAATCAGATCGGGCGGAGGGGCGCCTCGCTGGTTCTCCCCGCTGGAGTGCGGTTCGCGCATGAATAATTCTCCGCTACTTCTTTTTTTGCCTGGTTGGTATTAGCTTTTTGAATCACGCGCCAAATCCACTGCTCGTTTTTTAGAATCACAATTTGTTCTCTGCGAAAATTTAAAATAGAAAAAGAGTTAAGAGCGCATCACTGATTTCTTCCTCACCCACTCTGTGGATCATCTGGCCTTTTGAATTCGTTGCGTGTGCACCTTCGCTTTTCTTAATATAATTGCTATTGATTATCATGCGATCGCTTTTGTTGGGGCGATGATTTGAATCTGCAGGAATTGATGGGGTTGGACTTGGACTTATCAAGCATCATGACGGACTCGGGAAGTATGTATCGGCTCGTAATTGAGTGCGAAATTATTTCCAACTTTTGTTTTCTTATCTTTCAATTTGATCAAGATTGGATTAAAAATTTACTTTGACGGAAACATTTAGCAGCGGCTAATTTTTCGATGGTTTATTTGCATTCAATCAAGGATTTTCGACGTGTGGTGCTTGCATATTCCGGTCAGGGATCGAACGCCATTTACAGGTTATTATCAACTCGCTTAGTGTATAATGAGGCATTTGGATTTTCATTTTTCCCTGACAAAATTATAGGTGGGATAGGAGAATTTAGATCCATGGTTATCTAAATTAACTTTACCAGTTGAGACTACAATGATTCTCACTAAATGATGGATCTATCCATTTAAAAAAATCATCATTTTTTTCGGGACTGATGATTCTAATTGAGGTGTCTCAACTAAGGTAGACTGAGTGATCAATTTCTGTAATATTTGCGGCTTAAATACCTTGAAGTCTCTGAGTTAAATAACCCAATGCAGAATTACTGAAGTTGGTCGAAAAAAAAGTAAAAGATGAGCACCATCATTCACCAAAGAGACCAATATATCTTGTCGGAGAATCCTTGGGAGCTTGCCTTGCTCTGTCTGTTGCTGCTCGCAATCCAGATATTGACATTGTCTTGATTTTGTCTAATCCAGGTAAGCTATGATTGCAGACTGAAGTTGAACTTTGATTTTATTTCTCAAAAATAGTAGATGATTACTAAATTTTGGATGTTCTGAACACCTAAAATGAACTCAGTTCTTAAAAGCGAACTGCACAATAATTTTGGTGAGGTGATGAATGGGAAGGGATGAGTGTACGTGAAAAATCAAGATGTGACCATGTACTGGGGGTGAAATTTGTGAAATTTTTTGTTTGGTGGAATTTGATGCATGATGCAAATAAACATATTTATTTAATTTGCGTGCCTTTCAGACTTCAATTAACGTTTTTGGGCAATATATGTATGCAATCTCTTCTCTACTGAATAATGCTTTTTGATCTTCCCCTGGCAGCTACTTGTTTCAGCAAGTCACCATTACAAGCTGTTATATCTTTGTTGGAATTCATGCCAGAATCATTGCAAGTTAGCCTCCCTTACATACTGAATTTACTGAAAGGTTTTCTTTCCTTGTGATTCACATTCTATTTTGTGTACTTGTTGGTTGAAATACATTCTTCATTTTCACTTGGTAAGTTGAATTTTTTTTCCAAGATAGTATTTAAAGATTCTCAATTCATAATGGGACGATCATTAAGTTCGGGGCTTTGGTAGCGACACTCTTTTCTTTTAGCATGACAGACCTAGGTAATTGATAATTTGGGCCTTGTTGACTTTTGAGCGCATTCTTAAACTCTTGAATCCTATTAAGCACTTAGGTGACTTTTTGTCACCCTGAAGCCTCTTTAATTGTTTGGTCCCATCCCATCGCCATCCAGTTGTAATACTCAAAACCATGAAGATTTTCTTTTGCTAATACTGAGTTCCTGCCAACCAGTGTTGTCCAGGCTGTCAACAAAGTTTCATATTTCAACTCCATTGTTATTATCTGTATTGTGCATGGCCTCTCCAATCTGTGGGAGCATTCTTCTTATATCACAAGTTGTAAAGACACAAGAAGTTCGTTTCATTGTAAATTCAATAGTTTGCCTTTAAAAGCTTAGACTGCTGTTTTGCACTCAAATGGATGGACAAATTTCTTTGTACTTGATTGAAAATTGTAATCTGAACCATACTTTTCTTGCAACCCATTTCAATATTTTGGCATTAAAGAATGAACTGAAAAGACTAAACTTAATATGATATTAGATTGAAAGATTTCAAAGTACAAATTCCTATACTGTAGCTTTTGGACCTAGTGGTAATTATGAACTGAAGAACCATGTTTAATTATTGGTATTTCATCATGATTTTTTTACTTCATAAAATAAGTGATGGCAAGGTGTTTTTTAGGTGGTTCTTCTAGGCTGCCAATCGCTAGTGTGGAAGACGTATTGCAACAAATAGGTGGTGCATTATCACAGGATTTTGCTGCATTGTCTTCTAACCTCCCTGTAAGATAAGAACTCTATAACCTGTGTACTCAAAACCAAATAAGATAAAAGAGTGTTTCTCAACGTAATGTCTCCATAAATTCTTATGAAGAATGTTGCCTTGTAACTGGGATTTCTTTACACAACGATGCTCACGTTAGTTTTTCTTATCCTGTGCTGATCTTATGAGATTTAATTAATGAGCGAGGTTACAGGTTCTTGCTGATATTTTACCAATAGAAACGCTCATCTGGAAGTTGCAGATGTTGAAATCTGCTTCTGCAGATTCCAACTCACGGCTTCATGCTGTAAAAGCAGAGACTCTGATACTCTGCAGGTATATATCTTAAGTCCAAATCCTTTTATTAAATAACATTAACGATGGGAACTCTGCTCTGTTTCGTTGTAGCTTCTGTCGACCCTCCCCTTAACTTATTCTGTCCAGGACAGACAACCAACATAAGATCACATATTTCCTTCCATTCCGTTTATAGGCTGACATTGCTCCACAAATTTGTTTTAGTAGCTTCTGATAACGAATTCCAGTTCTCGTGTCATTTTCAAGTTTAACGCTCTAGAAGGAAGATAATTATCCATTAAAAAGGTGGAGCTTTGTATTAGAAATCAATTAACAATGTACTTTTGTTTTTAAAGATGATAGAATTTTGTACATGACTTCCTAAAAGAAGTTTTTCTCATGAAGTCCTAAGTGCCACCAACCCTAAGAATAATCTATTTTAATGTTTCTTGGGCTATGGTTGACATTAATATAATCCTGAATCATTCTTAGCCTCTGAAGAATCTATGCGGGGTGCTTGCAAGTATGCATTGCATTATCTGTCTAAGATTTATAATTGTTTTAGATCCTGAAGTGTATTGTTTTTACAGTGGCAGAGATCAGTTGCTACCCAGTATAGAGGAAGGTGGGAGACTTCGTCAATTTTTGCCGAAATGTGAGGTCCGAAAATTTTCCAACAATGGCCATTTCCTTTTCTTGGTAAGAGACCATTTCCCTTGTAGGAATAAATGCTAAATTCTCAGCTTTAGATTGTTTTTCCTATTTTATCTTCCTACTGACGACAAAGCAATTGAAGCCAGTAATGGCCTACCGAAACAAGGGTGATTACAAATATGAATAATCATGGTATTACAGTTCACTGTATTTCTTTACTGCAGTAAAGGAGAAGAAAAGAGACTTTTGTTTCATATATGTGGAGGAGAAAGATATTGTTTTCATTTCATTGAGGTTGTTATAAACTTTGTTCTGCTAATGAATGCACGGCAGGAGGATGGTGTTGATTTGGCTGCAACAATTAAGGCTGCTAGTTTCTACCGCCGTTCGCAGTACCTGGACTACGTTTCAGATTTTGTCCCACCATCGCCTGCTGAATTCAGAAAAATATATGACGACTTCAGGTAATTACACTTTGGCACAAACTTGTACAAATAGTTTTCAGTTATTTTTTTCTATTCTCCTTGTTAATGATGAGAGAGCCAGTCTATTTTTATCGCTTACTGCCTATTTGAAAGATTGGGAATATTGCATTTGTTGATATTGAAAATTTTTATAGAAGAATTTATGGTGTTTCAGAATCTATTGATTGTCCTTTTAGTACTTAATTTGTGACAATTTTAGCAACCACCTTTCTGGTTTTGCTAGACTGCTTCGTTTGGCAACTAGTCCAGTGCTGCTTTCAACTCTAGAAGATGGGAAAATTACGAGGGGACTCGCAGGAATTCCTGAAGAAGGTCCTGTCCTGTTTGTTGGCTATCACATGCTGTTGGGATTAGAATTGGCTCCCTTGGTAGGCCAGTTCTTCGAAGAAAGGAACATTGTTCTACGAGGGATGGCACATCCTATGATGTTTGCAAAAGTGAAGGAAGGACGTTTACCTGAATTAGCATCATATGATGCATTCAGAATGATGGGTGCAGTTCCTGTCAATGCCAGGAACTTCTATAAACTTCTTTCTTCAAAGGCTCACGTCTTATTATATCCTGGAGGCATGCGCGAGGCTCTACACCGGAAGGTAAGAAAACCAATGAAAAGAAGGCATTGGTTCTTTCTTAAGTCTCATCACGAGCATCAAAATTTGGATGAGATTACCTTCAGTTTATTTATGAATATCAGGAAAACTGGACTATTTTATTGCATAGAAAAGTTGTTTGCATGTTTCATTAATGTGATTACCATATCTCAGAGCAGAACTGGGCTTTTATTCAAAATGCGACATAAATTTGTTTGAATATTTTTTCCTAGAAAGATCAAACTGTCTTCTTAGAATTACGGGAACTAAAATCTATTCTGTTATTTGACTCTCTTTCCATACAGGGGGAAGAGTATAGGCTATTCTGGCCCGAGCAATCAGAGTTTATTCGGATGGCTGCTAGGTTT